ATATGAAAATATGTGCCGCGCGGGGATGGCGTGTAAGTATCCCTCGGTAAAACACATCCCTTATATCCCGCGCGTACCCTCGGCCCAGGTCGCCTCGCCCCGCTTCTTACGCCACCCCCCCAGACAGGCCCGAGGCGTCATGCTGTTCTGCGCTCTCTTTAATTACACCCCGAAAACGGGACGCGTGACGTATTGCCATGTGGCGAAAGGGACAAAAAAACGACCTCCACTTCGGGCTAGAATCGCCTCGCGATCTGTAGCTAGGTCGTTAATCAACGCCGCGGCGATACTTAATGTTTCAAGAATACATTTCGCGCATACGAATAAGAATTATCGAGAAATCTCAATTTTCTTTTTCTAATTCTCCCTGTATTGTAAAATTTATAATATAGCAATTTTCATAAAAATGTTGTAAGCTTTGTATGTTTATAGATTAAACATTTTTTATACAGTCTTATATATGCTTTGATGAAAAATTTATTTTTATCGAGATTTGCGAAGCTAATAATTTTCTTAAAACTGATTTACCAGCTTAAAATTTGCTGATCTGCTGAAATTTTAGAAAACGTAAGGTGAAGGATTTATTGGAAAGAAGTAAAGTTCGGCGATGGAGGAGCCACTTAAAGCGTTGGCCCGGTCAGTGCTAAATATTTGATCAGAATTCGATTGGTTTAAGACGTCAGCCGGTAAGCGAGGGTATACTCATGGGACGGACGAAAAAAACAGGAAGAAGGAGAAAGCTCAACGAATGGACGGACAGTTAGTAGCTAGACGACGGAGTATTCCCTCGAGTCGAACGGCAAAATGATGTCAAACGGACAGCTCAGCTGTCTTGGTCACAGCATTCTCTTTTTACTAGTATATCTACAATTCGCTTTAAAATTTTTCTCTCTCTCTCTCTTTTTTTATCTCTGTTTCTCTTTCGCGCCCTCTTTTTTTTTGCGCGCTCGATGACAGCTATAGAAAGCAAATAACGATGGCATCTTGAAGCAGTACAGAAATAAAGCCAATTCCGGGATTGTTAGTTTTAAACGAGATTCGTAGAAATGACATAACTTGAAAGGAACATTGTTGTTTGTCATTTATGAAAAGCTTTTTTTTCCAATAAAATATACGCCAATACATTATCGTTATTTCATTTAATTATAAATTGACAAATTATAAATTAACGGACAAAATAACAGAACGATAATCGTTTCAATTCTAAAAAAACGCTTCAATATAATTGCTGTTAATATAATATTTTAATATAAATTGATACAACTAATAAGTTACGAAATTTTTATTAATTGTGACAATTAAGCATTTGTTCTTGTTTTCTTAACGCGAGTCGCTAAAGGCAGAGAACAAGGGAGGCACAAAGGTCGAATCGCACAAAATTCATGCGAATCTACGTAGTGCCAAGTGGGGTGCATTAGCCAAGTTCCCCATTATCCACGCGTGAGAGACCCCTAAATTATCCGGCGCTCGCCTAGCGCCGATCTTGCCCACCCTCGCTCGTCGGCGAGAAAAAGATGTATGACCGTCTTTTTTCGAGAACACCCTCGACAGGCTCCGGGATGAAGTTACCAATGCGTGATTTTTGCAATTGCAAGAAATTCGCTACATATCAAAACGTTGACGAGAAGATCATTTAAATCATTATAATTTTTTTCAGATCTTATTTATCTTTGATGACTTTTGTTTTATCTTTATGTACTTTATTCTTCTAATTAATAATTTAGAGGTCTTATACATGCGTGAATTAGGAAATTGGCTATTTACATTTTTAATTACATTTTAATCTAATATTGTTGGCGGACACTAACATTTTCTGGTCAAAGATAATATTAATATTTTGAGAGCCAATTTAAAACAAAACCGATGAAATTCACCTTCAATATGACCGGAATTATAATTTATTATCTAATTGTAAAAAGAATACTAGAATTCATAAAGGATGCTGAAGACAGAGAGGGAAGAAGGGTCAGAGAGAAAAGAAAGATAAAGGAACTGAAAGTAAAAAAGAGAGAGAAAGAAGGAGAAAGGATTTGCATGTATGTACACATGAATGGAGGAAGTAAGATAAAAGAGCGAGAGGATAAGACGAAGGCAGAAGGAGAGTCACAACGAGAAAGAGAGAGCGAGAGACGGAAGAACCGTCAGGAAGATAGAGAACGCAAGTTTGGGCTATCTCTCCGAGCACAGTTCCAAGGAGCTTCCTTTAGACTTTAGTGACGTGACGTCGCCTTAATACTCTAATCCCTGCAATGGAAGCACCATCGTCCGCCTCGCGTCGTCGTGTTCTGTCTAACCATCCTCTTACCCATACCACACCATACCATGCTCGGCACATGTTAATTAATTGGCAAATACAGATTCTCAGATGTTCAAATCTTTCGCGTCTATTGCAAAAACTTAATAAATATTTGTCAAATATTGACATTTAAAATGTACAAAAATTTCTTAAAGATTTAGTATAAAAAAGTATAATAATTAAAATAAAATAATTATATTTATTGCTCAATTTTTTTTATGTTTATGCTAGAAATTTTTTTATCACTCGATATATTACAAAATAACAATTTTTTGTAAATGAAAAAATTCTGTATTATTTGACAATTTATGACATACTGATATAAATGATTAAAATCTATTCAATGTCTCTCGTGATATCAGAAACGTTTATAGGCGTCTCTGATGGAGACTTCGACAGTATCGACAATGTTTCTTCTTTGCGAGAATTTAAAGTCAACCTTTACATAATACATCTGCGTGGCTATTCACCCATACTAGGACTATACGCTTGCTTTCTAATTATTCCCCACAGACCGTAAGGGATGACACGTAATTGGAGGGTGGACCAGGACGCATCGATCCCCAACACGAAGGGATTCTAGCTCTTTCTTGCGTCGTATCTCCCCCTCCTCCCCCTTTTCTCTCTGCCCATTTCGTCCTTACGCAGTTCCTCCGTCGAAGGCCAGTTTCAAGAGCATTGATTCGCAAAGAAAAGTGATAATGTCTTAAGCCGTTGGTGCGATTTAACTTCCGATTTTGGACGAGGGCACTCCCGCCGTCCTCCCTCCGCAGTCTCTAGCAAGAGTTCGTCGCTCTAAACTCCCGACTACGTGGTCTGAGGAGGGTTTAAGGTTTAAGGGAAGCTCATTCCTTGGGATCCTAGGGAGCTCCGCTAAGCGCTGACGCTGATCCCGCTCTTCTTCTGACTCCGCCACCTCCAGGAGCTCGGGTTTATCTAATTCCAGTTGTAGGTTCCTCCTATCGCTGTAAACCTTACGAGCGTACCAAAGGGCAAGCATCGTGCAGTTAAAGGCCTAAAGTCTTACAAGTCATCTGAAAGACGGATAACTTATTAATTTGAAATAATGTGTAGACGTTAAGATTATAAATAATTTGGAAATTTTGAAATATCTGAATATTTTATCAAATATATCAGGTTCACGCAAAATTTGGTTATGACTAGGTGAGGCAAATAAGCGATATTAATGAATATTATTATTAACTGTGAAATTAACTGTGTTCTCTCTTATGATAGTCTTATATAATTTTTAAAAAATAAAAATAACTATAAATATAATAAGATTAATTTTTAATATATAAATGAATATCATGAATATTGTGTAATGGATATAAACACGTGCAATCCATTTATGTTTGCGGGATTATGTACACAGTAATTAATCATAAATCCGAATTTGCAATGACTTTCGGTTTGCCCAAATAGCCATCTTACATTTATCGCTAGTCTCAGAAATATTTACGAAGAGAAAATTACAAATTTACTATGAAGAAAGTTATTTCTGTTCAGACTGGCAAAGATTTGACTTTTCCTTTGAAAATCCAGCTACGCAAAGAACTCGCGAGTTGCAAAAGGGAGTAGACTGGCGAGGTCGCTGGCCGGGACCAATGTTGCTCGGATTCCTAAAGCAGCAAAGAGAGAACCAAGTAGCACGTACATACATATAGTAACGCGAGGCAGCCCGAAGGGAAGGTGGAGGGATAGTAGTATAGACGCGGGTGAATATAAGCGGGAGAGGTGTACGGAGAGCACGTACCTCAACACACTGAGAGAGAAAGAGAGATATAGGAGAGAGTCCTAGGTGTGTACCCAGGAATCGTGTCCCCTTCTACAATATCCGTGGCGGGGGGTCGAGGTGAGCGAAAGGGATGTGCAGAGGGGCTGGGAATCGTGCTCCAGCCAAGCTCAAGGGGGTGGACAGTGCGCAGAACCCGCCCCCACCTTTCGCGACGAAGCAGAAGCCGCCGGCTGCCCGCGCAAGTCTTCATCCCCTCCGTGCGCGACGGAAGATCGCCACCCCCGAACGAACTTAAACATAGCACAGTAGCTCGCGAGCACCCCGTCTGAAAGGGCCCATCGCGCACACCGACCCGGACTTGTTACCTACATATATATATATGTGTATACATATATATACATATATGTATATATAGATATCGGCGGTTTGTGTCGAGCACGCGTGTCCTCGCTGTGTGCATGCGCGCGTGCGTGTCACGCAGTGCCTGTCGGAACATCTCGAATCCGCCGCAAGGACGAAGCAAGATAGAGTGTGTGGCTTGCTAGAGAAAATAATACGAGAATCCAAGCGATCGTTCATCAGGACAAACAAAGAAAGAGAGAGAGAGAAAAGGGAAATATACGGACGCATCTCGGCACAGAATGACACTTCGGATTCGTGACGACGCACTCGACGATCCTCTGCGGATGTCAGGTGAATTCTCTTGAGAGACAGTCCCTTAGGCTTTGAATGCGCTGTTAAGTAGATGATGGAGGGAGAAAGAGAAGAGGCCTGTGGGGCAGGCGCTGAGGATCTACCGCAACGAAAGAGCGGCAAGGATCCTGAGCGAGATGGCCTCTCTCGTTAGATCGCGCCGGCCTCGAAATCGACGAATTCGATCTTGCACTCGTATACCGAACGCACCGCGTCCTTTGCGCCCGCATGGCAGAGCAGACTTGCTGATCCTCTGGAATTTTTGTGTTCCAGGGTGGAACTGACCAGCGTGCCGGGCGGACAGAATGCGATGGCTCATCTCAAAAAGCGGAAGCTGGAAGCAGAGTCGGTCACGCAGAATCCTAAACAGACGCAGCAGCCGTTGCAGCAGCAATTGTTGATCAACAAGAAGGGCCTGCAGACGAACACGCCGCAAGAGATGGAGCCGACTGACGCCGCCGTGAAGCGAAGGAGGAAAAGCGTTCGCGACGACGACGCGCGAAAGACGATCGACGTTGTTGATCCTAACAAAAACATACCGCTGCCTCAGAAGAAACGCGCGTTTGCATCGGGTAATTCAGGTAGTCCCGCTAGAAAATCCAGCAAGCACTGCGAGGAACCCGAAGATGACGAGACTTTAATAAGAGAAACAGAGGCCGCCTTGAAGAGTTTGTCAGGTAGCTGGCCTGGACCTAGAGGATCTCTGTATCAAAGAGGCAATTCGGACGAAGATAGATATGAGTCTAACTTCGAAAATCTCTTTGAAGAAAAGAAAGAAAATCCTAAATTATCGCCCTCATCAACATCTTCGAATACGAGCAACGACACTGGTTGTTCATTGAAGGACGTGATAACTTTTCGCGGACAGCAGGATCGATCTGGTAAAATGCAACAGCAAAATAGACAGGATTCGAAGCAACAACAACATCCGATTAAAACTAAAAAGGACTTGGATAATCTTCTCAAGATAGAGAACGAATGCGCGAATATTCAGTCTCAAGTCAGTAACGTCAATCAGAACGAACTGCCAAAAATCAGACCGGTTTCCGTTCGATCATTATCGAGCAAAGATAGAAATGACAGGAACATGGTGAGTACACACATTGACTCTCAGGGAAGACAATCAGATAAGTATTCCCGATACGATCCGCCAGATTTCAACGAGTTGGTCGATGATTCGTCCAACGAACTTGAAATCGACATGTCCGATCCAACAGCTGACAAAGACGAAAGCGATCGAGATAGATCGAACGATAGGGAACGAGATCGAACATGTAAAAATGGTCAATCACCACAGAGTATCGGTAGGCAGCAGCAGCAGCAGCAGCAACATCATCAACAGCATCAAGCGCTTTACTCGAATTATCAGAGACAGTATAATGAGACCAACATGAAAGTTTCACCCACGGGGACTTCGTCATCCTCGTCAACGCCAGCGAGTTCGCCATTCTCAGCAACATCCGCGTTCAGGCCACCCAATACGGACCATTCGAAAGTTCCATGTCGCGGCGCTTCATCAGTAGCCCCTTCGGCGATTCCGCCAATCGGTCCATATCCAGCTAGCGCTACGTTTGTGGGATATCCGACGCCTGGACCGACGATGCCGTCGCCGCAGCCCGTAGCCGGCATATCACCCACGTCGGAGGACAAACACCCGTCTACGGTGTCTCTGTTGCAGCTCAAGTCCTCGAAGGAAGAGACCCATCACGTGACGACTCACAACGTAGCCTCCAATTCTGTATCCCCCAGCAAGAGCCCTCCTGGCGGTCTACCTGCCGTTACCAGCCCCGATTCCTCGAAACAGTACACAATCCTGCAACCTGCGGGAGTGGGCTCCAGAGCGGCCAGTGCGATCCAGGATATCACGAGGGACGGAGTGGTCAGTGTCGCCGCCGTGAGCAGCTGCACCACGGCAAGCAACGGTGGTGTTAACAACGTCAACGCCGCAAACGTGAATGGCAACGGAGTTGGCAATAAGGCAACGACCAACGGCAATAATAGTGCCAATGATAGCGGCAATACCACGAATCCTGCCGGAAATCCTAATGCGAACAGCATCGCCAGCATAACCATTACGACGGCATCGACGACCACTACTACATCCAGCCCGACAGTTGCTGCCGATGTGCCCGCAGCGAGCGGCCAGCAGGACAATGTCATGAAAATGCCAGAGAGACCCGGCACCTTCGACAGTAGCAGGCCGGGAATGTCTATGTCTCCGTCCAGTCTCGGCAGAGGTGAGGATTTCGATGTCTTGTCTGTCGCGTTATAAAACGCGATATTGTATAGAAGCAACGTATATATATATTCAAATTCATATTAATATTGACACTGGATATTGTTGCGGGCAATTCATTTAGTCATTCACAGACAGAATCTTCCGACTTAGAAATCAAATTATATACATAAAAAGAACGCTAAATTTATGTAGATACTAATGTTGTTCTTGATATGATAGTTTCCAATTACAAAAAAATAAAATTTAGTATTGTTCTAAAAAATATTGATGTCCAATATGATTCTTATATATTATATCGATATATCAGTAATAGAATCGCAAAGAAAAAAATGTATACATTATATATATTTATATAAAATATAAAATATATATATACATATGTAATTTTTAAT